AAGACACAAGGTCAATATGTCAGATCTTAACTGTGAGCAAACGACGACATGAACTTTGGAGCCACAAAGCTTCAATATCTTGTTGTTGCATGGTTTGTCCAGGAAGTATATATATCTCCGTATCTGTAGCTTGATCTTTGACACAGTTGACGACCGCAGCAGAGCAGGATGTGGTTTAGAAACAGACAGGGCGTGACTGGCTGTCTCTGAGCTTCTGTGTTTGTATGTTCCTATTTTCCTCCCCATGTGTGTGAGGGCGATTGAAAAGCACCCGAATAAAGGCTGTTTCACTTCCTCCTGTGAGAGGAACACGGAGAATGAACTGCAGTACTCCATCCTCATCTGCTGCTTGCCACTCTCCTTTGCCCTCTTCCTCAGCTTCTTGAATCCCAGGCGCATGAATGGCCTCAGGAGGGGGAGGAGTAGGAAGAAGAGGAGGAAGAGGGAGGATGGGTGGCACAGTTATGTTTTGTGAACCCCTCTGTTTCTGCCCTGTGAACAAGAGCGTGGTGATCGCCTGGAGTTTGGTTCAGTTTTTATGCACGACTACTAATGTCCACGTTTCAGCAGATGTGAGACAACAGTGTTTTTGTTTAAGGGCACACAAGGGATTTTAAATAGACTTTAATAACACACACACACACATTTAAACTCCAACACAGGCCGCCTGCTCTGGGATGAAAGGTCAGACAAAGGCTTTTACACTCTTTATTGTGCCCTAGATAAGATCTGCCATCAGGCTTGTTGAGACTAGTTGTGGTTGTGTGTGTGTGTGTGTTTTTATATCCGGGGCAGGGTTTTACAAATTTCTGAAAAATCAATTCATGCTTCCTGCTGAAGTCAACAACAAGCTAGTACTTATAATGATTTTGGGGCTGCAGCTAATGATCATTTTATTTAACTGTTTAGTTGTTTTGTCTCTAAAATATCAGAATAGCGTGATAAAACTGATGAAAGCAAGTACTCAAAGAAGCCGGTACGACTCGGTGTACTGATTAATTCAGCTCTTCATGTATCTCCAAAATGTTCTCAAGCTTCAACTGAAGTAACATCCCATTACAATTTGAATTCGATTTATGAGCTTTTTACTTAAGAGTGTCATGTTCAGTTTATGAGCAGGTGTTAGGGAGTTTGTTATCACTGATCACTCTGCTGAATGCGTTTCTTTTTGCTCCTACATTTTTAAAACTAAGATTTGCTGAATAGAAAATGCATCACTTCAGTGTGTGTGTGTGTGGGGCATGCCTTGTATGCGTTTTATTATACATGTATGGAGACAGGATGTGTATTTATAGCCAAGAGAGTGTGTGTGTGTGTGTGTGTGTGTGTGTGTGTGTGTGTGTGT